TGAAGCTATAACAACCTTCTCTCTTCTGGGAAGGCTTTCCATAATAATATGGAGTGTGTCTGTGGCAATCTGTGACCATTCCTGAGGTCAGGTACCGATGTTGGATGAGAAGAAATGGCTCACGATGAAAGTTCCAATTCATCCGGCTTCCCAGCCAATCAGCATCGAGACGGCTTTACGGCTGATTGGCCAGGAAGCCGGCTCCATGCTGATTGGCTGGGAAGCCGGCTTTTTACCCAATCAGAATCGAGCCGGCCAAACAGCCGTCTCTTTGCTGATTGGCCAGTAAGCCGCCCCGACCAATCAGAAAGCCTGGAGGCAGCTCATTATTTGCCACTCGGCTTCCTGATTGCCCAGGAAGCCGGCTCCATGTTCCCCTCGGCACTGCCAGTCAGAGGAATTTTTTTCTCTGTCCGAAAGTTCAGGTATCGGGGAGGGTATCGGAGTACGAGTACTCGCCCAAATACTCGGTATCGGAACCAATACCGATGCTAGTATCAGTAACAGTGCATCCCTAATTAATACAAGAACATTTTTGCTTGCTTTAGAAACTGCGGCTTGACATTGAGTCTATGGTCTACCAGAACACCCAGATCCTTCTCAAGCATTGACTCCCCCAATGGGACTCCCCTTAGAGTGTATGACGCATGCATGTTTTTAGTCCCCAAGTACAGAACTTTACATTTAGCAGCATTAAACCTCATTTGCCAAATAGATGCCAATCACACAGAGCATTCAGACCTGTAGGTTGGAGACATCCTGTAAGGACTGTATTCCACTACATGACTTGTGCCATCTGCAAACACAGAAATAGTACTTTTAATCCCCAATTCTATGTCATAGATTAAACAATAAGGGTCCCAACACTGAACCTTGGGGGACACTACCAACAACCACCACCAACACTAAAGCTTGGGGGACACTACCAACAACCACCACCAACACTAAAGCTTGGGGGACACTACCAACAACCAACACCAACACTGAACCTTGGGGGACACTACCAACAACCACCACCAACACTGAAGCTTGGGGGACACTACCAATAACCACCGTACCAACACTGAAGCTTGGGGGACACTACCAACCACCACCACCAAAACTGAAGCTTGGGGGACACTACCAACAACCACCACCAACACTGAACCTTGGGGGACACTACCACCAACACTGAACCTTGGAGTACACTACCAATAACCACCACCAACACTGAATCTTGGGGGACACTACCAATAACCACCACCAACACTGATCCTTGGGGGACACTACCAATAACCACCACCGACACTGAACCTTGGGGGACACTACCACCAACCACCACCAACACTGAACCTTGGAGTACACCACCACCAACACTGAACCTTGGGGGACACTACCAACAACCACCACCAACACTGAACCTTGGGGGACACTACCAACAACCACCACCAACACTGAACCTTGAACTACACCACTGACAACACTGAACTTTGGGGTACACCACTGACAACCTCATCTCCACTCTCTGAATACGGTCTTTGTGCCAATTTTCTATCCAACAGACTGAATATTCTACACCTACGGATCGTATCTTACACAGTAGCTATCTGTGGGGAAGTGTCGAACGCATATGCAAAGTCCAAGTATACTATATCCACAGCCATTCCTTTTTCCAGTGTATTGCTTACTTCCTCATAAGAAAGAAAGTAGATTTGTTTGACAACTTCAGTCTTTTGTGAAAACATGCTGACCATCACGTATAATAATATTTTCATGCAAAAACGTGTGTATATGATCCTTTGTCAAATTTTTAAGTATCTTCCCGATTATAGAAGTTAAGCTTACAGGTTGGTAATTGCTTGGTGAAGACTTTGATCCCTTTTTAATTATAGGCACCACTTTGGCCTTGCGCTATTCCATCTGTACCAAAGCCAGTCATTGAAGAGTCTCTACAAATTAGATAGAATGGCTTAGAAATAATAGAACTCAACTCTTTAAGGACACGAGGGTGTAAGTCATCGGGTCCAGGTGCTTTGTCCACTTTAATTTTGGCTGTTTCTGGACCATTGTCACGTGCCTTTGGGGAGTCTTATGTAACGAGGGTGGCTCCCTTGCAACTCTGGCCCCAGAGTGACTGAATGGAGTACAGGAGTGCAGGGGCGCAGAGGGGCAGGAGTGCTGGATGACGATGACTCTGCCAGGCAACAGTCTCTGCAAAGCTTGTAGACGCTGGACAAGGTGCAGGCACAGAAGAGAAGCACTTCAAGGAATGGGTCTTTAGGTAATCCATGGTGGTGGCAGGCCGAGTCATTAAAGGAGAACTATGAGGTGAGTGATTTCCACTCACCTCATAGTTCTAGCCGACCTGTGACAATGAGACTGTCACAGGTCGGCTCAGTAGATCGGGAGGTGAGAGAACACATACCGGGTTCGCTCGCCTCTCGATCCTGTCACGGCTATCTGCCGTGACAGGGGCAGGGGCTGGATTCCCCTCTCCCCGCTCCGATCTGCCAGCGCTGACTGGCGGAACGGACGGGGGAGGGGGCGGGTACAGCTGGCTCTGCGTCTAGATCGGCAGAGCCATCTGTCACTCACGCAGCTGGGCGGATCCCGACGTCCATGTCGGGATCTGCTCCGGCTGCGGCGTCTCAGTATACCGCGAGCTGCGGTATACTGAGCTTAGGGTAACGGGAGGACGCTAGTTTGTGTCCTCCCGTTACCCTAAGGAGAACTATGGGGAAAAACACTGACCCCATAGTTCTCCTTTAATAGGCGGGCAGCGAGGTACCAAGATGAAAAGCAGGAACGTAGTCAGGATCAGGCCGAGGTCAGCAACATGGTGTTAGGCAGAAGTGGTGGTCAGAAGCAAGTTGGGATCTCAGGAACACAGAAGAGCAGCGGGAGGTCAAGTCAAGCCAAGTCGGTAACAGGAAGGCAGATCAGAATACTGGAGCTCAGGAACACGGGTGTAGCTGACAAGCAGACAGCAGAAGAGGACTGGACCTCACAGCCCAAATAGCCCTAATGGCACCAGAGCTCTAATTACACATCGGCTCACATGACCGTGCGCACCTCCACGCAAAGACGCAGAACCTGGCAAAGCTCTATTGGCAAGACCACCAGGCACATGCGCAAACCGCTGACCACAAACTCGGGTTATGGCTTCCTGACAACCATATTTTGGAGTCATTGTGTGTCATTAGAGCCTGTGGCACTGCCATCCCCAATATCGACTTGAGTTCCACCGCGTTCCTTTCTACACGCAGAGCTAAAGAAAGTATTTAAAGGAGAACAATGAGGCGAGTGAAAATCACTCGGCCTCATAGTTCTGGCAGACCTGTGACAATGAAACTGTCACACGTCGGCTCAGTAGATCGGGAAGTGAGCAAACACATACCGTCGCTCGCTCACTTCTCGATCATCTACCTGCAGAGAGCCGTGACTGTCACTCACGGCTCCCTGCAGGGATTTCCCCACCTGACCGATCCTCCAGCGCTGACTGGCGGAACGGACAGAGGAGGGGGCGGGCACAGCTGGCTCTGCCTCTAGATAGGCAGAGCCAGCTGTCACTCACGCAGCTGGGTGGATCTTGACAGTAATGCCGGGATCCGTCCCGGCTGCGACGTCTCAGTATACCGCGAGCTGTAGCTCCCTATATACTGAGCTTTGGGTCACGGGAGGACACTAGTTTGTGTCCTCCCGTGACCCTGAGGAAAACTATAGGGAAAAGCCCTGACCCCGTAGTTCTCCTTTAATATATTTTCCTTTTCTTTGTCCCCTGTATGTCAATCATGGCATACTGCATTGCACAGTACGCAAGGAGCTGGCTGGTAGGAGGGCTGAGCATAGGGTTGACCTCCTGAGTGTGTTGCTACTCCTTCACTATTCAATCACCGGCTGTGGTGGCCCTTGACCAAGCTGTATTGAAGAGAAAAGTGAGGTCAGGTCCTGGCTGTGCTGCCTGGCAGGGTTGTCCAAAGAAGAAAACTGGCTTGACACAATGTCACATTTCTTGGCAGGTAAGACACTTATTTCAGCCGTCTAGCAGTGTCAGCTGTACTTTCTACTTACCTCCCATGTTCCAGCGGCACCTCTTGTTGGGCTCATGGCAGCGGTGTTGCTCCTGCATCCAATTAGGCACCACCATGCCCCCCCCAGCCAAATACTTAAAGGGCCGGAGTATACATTGGACAGGCATGCAATGTTCATGTGATGCCTACCCCTTTCCAAGAGAATAGCATGTTTTTATACAACCAAAAGCCTTCTGTGCCCCTGAGGGCCCAACCTTTCCAGAGTTCCCCCAAGTCACCTGTGTTTCCCCCAACCCTCTGATCTCCTACGTTCTTCTACCACCTGTGTCCCCGCTTCTGCTGAATTAGGAGTCCAGCAACTCTCAGAACCTCATTAGCCAACCAGCTAGCCATAGGTCCCTCACATCTTCCTGCCAACGTCTGCCAGTAACTGAGGGAACGACCCAGGGATGGGACACAGTGAAGTCCAAACCCCCCTTCCGATGGGGTTCCTGGTGAACATGGCCCGATCCTTGGACTCCAGTCATAAGCAGGATAGGGTTCACTATGCCCCAATTCCCCCCCGGGATAATCGGTCCGTGACATTGTTTACCTTCACTTCCCCTTGAAGAGCTCATATTTAGCTTCTTCCTCTGTAAGCAAATTTTCTAAGTCATCATTTATTTTTTTTAGACGCCAATTCACACATAAGAATAATATAGGGAAGCAAAAGACAATAAAGAGTCAGCGTAACATCAGTTTCTGGATTGACAGCTGTCCCTCTGCTGCTGAAACCCTCCCACTGTGAGCTGCAGTGTCTGGTAGGGGGAGCGGGGGAGACACAAATGGAGGAGGATTTGGGGAGGTAGGGGAAGTTTTCTGTTTACTTTTTGAGTCTTGTGCATCACATAGTAACTGGATTTGGGCCTTGTATAGAATGTCATACAGGAGACTTTAGTTATACTTTATTATCATGTCTTTTTGTTTTGTTTTAATAAAGGTTTTGAATTGGAAAACAGTTCACCGTCTTGCATGAGCCTATCACAATGGCCACCGCAGCGCCCAGCATCCTGGAGAGCATTTTCCTAAAGAGATCCCAACAGAAGCGCAAAACGTCGCCCCTGAACTACAAGAAGAGGTTGTTCGTACTCACCGAGCAAAAGATCACCTATTATGAATATGACTTCGAGAGGGGGGTAAGGAACCTTCATTCATTCTTCATCGGGGATTGTATTACCTGCATGACAATACCTAGTTTGCTGTGATCCCATTCACTGTTTGACCAGTGGCTTCATCCGACGGGTCCTGAAACAGTTGAGGAGAGAATGAGCAGAACATAATCATTCAATGGCTCTGCTTGGGCTGGTCACATGACCTGAGGCTCCCCTCCATAGAGTTGTTTTACCTGTTTGACCAATGGCTTCATCCAACGGGTCCAAGGACTCACCGGTTGAGGTGAGAATGAGGAGAACATAATAATTGAATGGCTCTGCTTGGGCTGATCACATGACCTGAGGCACCCCTCCATAGAGTTGTTTTACCTGTTTGACCAATGGCCTCATCCAAGGGGTCCCGGGACTCAACAGTTGAGGAGAGAATGAGCAGGACATTATCATTCAATGGCTCCACTTGGGATGATCACATGACCTGAGGCTCCCCTCCATAGAGTTGTTTTACCTGTTTGACCTATGGCTTCATCCAACGGGTCCCAGGACTCAACATTTGAGGAGAGAATGAGCAGAATATAATCATTGAATGGCTCTGGTTGGGCTGATCACATGACCTGAGGCACCCCTCCATAGAGTTGTTTTACCTGTTTGACCAATGGCCTCATCCAAGGGGTCCCGGGACTCAACAGTTGAGGAGAGAATGAGCAGGACATTATCATTCAATGGCTCCACTTGGGATGATCACATGACCTGAGGCTCCCCTCCATAGAGTTGTTTTACCTGTTTGACCTATGGCTTCATCCAACGGGTCCCAGGACTCAACGTTTGAGGTGACAATGAGCAGGACATAATCATTCAATGGCTCTGGTTGGGCTGATCACATGACCTGAGGCTCCCCTCCATAGAGTTGTTGTACCTAGCAAGAAAGGATACCGGCGCCTTCAATTGCGGGATGGCCAGCTTAATAGAGCAAACACGAGAGAGGCAGCTCCCATAGGTCAAATAGACCGCCAATCTAAGAAACAAAAAACAAAAAAGGGCGCCTCCATAGTTACATCATTAAATTACAATTTTACACTATGGAGACACCCTTTTTCGTTTTTTGTTTCTTAGTTGTTGTACCTGTTTGACCAATGGCTTCATCCAAGGGGTCCCGGGACTAAAACAGTTGAGGAGAGGATGAGGAGAACATAATCATTCAGAGGCTCTACTAGGGCTGGTCACATGACCTGAGGCTCCACCCCATAGAGTTGTTGTACCTGTTTGACCAGTGGCTTCATCCAAGGGGTCCCGGGACTCAACAGTTGAGGAGAGGATGAGCAGAACATAATCATTCAGAGGCTCTGCTTGGGCTGGTCACATGACCTGAGGCTCCCCTCCATAGAGTTGTTGTACCTGTTTGACCAATGGCTTCATCCAAGGGGTCCCGGGACTAAAACAGTTGAGGAGAGGATGAGCAGAACATAATCATTCAGAGGCTCTACTTGGGCTGGTCACATGACCTGAGGCTCCCCTCCAATGAGTTGTTGTACCTGTTTGACCAATGGCTTCATCCAAGGGGTCCCGGGACTAAAACAGTTGAGGAGAGGATGAGCAGAACATAATCATTCAGACGCTCTACTTGGGCTTGTCACATGACCTGAGGCTCCCCTCCATAGAGTTGTTTTACCTGCCAAGGGATTTGTCTTTCTGCCCATCCATTGCGGAGATTCACACAGCTCTGCCACAGTCAGAGATACAACGTACAACAAGAGCTCCAACCCAAGCCAGACCAATGATCAAGGAGTCCAAATAAGCTAAAATGAGTCCATACTGGGGTGAAGTAGGACAGGCAATGTGTCCCCTTCCATCAGTGAGGCCCGAAAAACACCTTGTAAGGTCCACTTCACCCCGATATGAACTAATTAACGCTTATTTGGACTGTTTGACCATTGGTCTGGCATGGTTGTTGTATCCTTGAATGTTTGGACCTCCACATTCTGGTATATTCATTGGCTCCACCCAATCCAACTCTACTGCATGTGTGTGTATGACCATGGGAGGGATATTACCATGCAGTGACCGAGGTGAATGGTGTAATATTCTTAGTAAATTGCTGAAGAAGAAAGTGAGCGTAGAGGGAAGTACTTCCATCTGTGCTCAGTGAACGAGCACTCCGCGCCGGAGATCTTACAAGTCCTGGGTCCTACTGCTCTCTTCAAAGCTGAACTGCAGGCAGGGCCGTATTTCCCACAAGGCCAACCAAGGCCCGGCTTCGGGGCAGCAGGGTGTAGAAGGGCAGCAGGGGTGTGGACAGACCTGCAGCCCTATTGGAAGTGATCTTAGGGACATCACCGAGATCACTTGTAAACGAACGAGTGGCTTCCCAAAGCAGGGCTAAATGTAGAAAACAACTAGCTGCCCGGCGCCCAGAAATGCATGTCTTGGGCGTCGGGAGATTCTACACCCCTGCCGCCCCTCTGCTCCCTGAGGCCGGGCCTCGGTGGCCTGGTGGGAAAGCCGGCCCAGTATATGGTTCGCTTATTACATCTCAATATTGGTTAGGGAAATGTGAACATTGTCACTGTTGTTCCTCGGATGGATGCTTTGTCTTCCTCTCACTTCCTGTCCTTGAGATACTAAAGGAAGTGAGAGAAAAACTTCTCCAGAGTGAAGGAAATCCCCTTGTAGTCCGCTGTCACGGGAATGAGCGTCCCAGTTGGAGGCCTACCCTTTATTCCTGTTCTGATGACAACCCAAAATTTAGCTTCTTTCCTCATTTTCGGTCCCAGTGACAACGGCCTCCAGGACAACTAGAAGGATCTAATCTACCGACGTGACCCTTCAATTTCATGTCTCCCAAGACAGTTACTTTCAACGCTTGCCAACTATCACGTTCCTGAATGGTGACCCAACTGAGAAGGGGGCTACCCGTGCACCTCTCGTCCCATACCTTTGGTGGTGGTGACAGGGGATGTAAGGACGGGGAGAGGCACAGGCGCCAGTACCATTGGCTGGCCGGGTTTCGTAGAGGAGCTTGAGTTGGGTTGGAGCCTGCAGGACCAGGATGACACCGGGATCTCCCGGAACTGGATCAGGTAACAGGCGTGGAGCCTGAGAAGCACTGGCTGGATGAGGTGGCTCAGAGTACTGGTGGAAAGAGGCACCAAGTGGCAAGCCAGGAGTGAAGTCCGGTTCGAAGCCCGGGTCAGGGTCATACACGGGAAGGCAGAATCTTGAAGTGCCGAATCGCAGATCAGGAGCAAGGTCAGGAATAGAAAGCCAGGGTCATACATGGGAGAGCAGAGAGCCGAGGTACCTAATTGGAAGGAGGAGAGTCAATGGTCACAGGGACAAATGGCTGGTGTCATAGCTGATCCATTGGGCAGTAGCATGGCAACTGCAATCCCAATGGAGGCCAAGATGGCTTCTTCCTTAACTGTAGGGATAGGAGGACATAGTCCTGCTTTAAGTAGGTGTGGCCTTCAGTAGACATAATGTGGCCTCTTAAAGGATAACTAAACCTAGGAACAGAAATGTAACCTATTGCAGCTTTTACCAGTCCTTAGATGAGGTGGCTGCATTCGTTTTCCTTTTCCAGACGGAGAACATTTTCAGCAAGTACAGAAAGCCTGTTTATCCTGCCAGAAATGGCTTATTCATATGTAAATATCACAGTTAAGACTATTTTCAGTGGGGGGTCAGTTGCACCTGTCTTAAATTTGGTTGCCCCCTGTCTGCCTGACATCTTGTGTCCGGGTTACTGCCGCCATGAAACCCGGACACATCATTCAAAACCCAGACTGTCCGGGTGAATCCTGGACAGGTGGCAACCCTACAGCCAAGGGGCTGCAATGGGGCTTGGGGTAGAAGGGGGTCCCCACTGGGGAGACTGTTAAAGAAAAACGTCAGGCATATTAAGCATTAACCCTTGCAGTGGGGCTAACCCCCCCATCCCCCCCC